ATATATAGATACATAGATACATAGATACATAGATAAATACATACATGCACACACACACACATATATATATATATATATATATATATATGTATATAGTTCGGATTTGAAAAATCTAAGCTCTGTACCCAAAAACCACATACATTCACGTGAATACATTGATATATGATTACTGGATGTTTGTTCACTATATTAACACACCTTCATGCTTTGTACATGCGTCTCCAGTAGTCCTCCACCCAACTCCATTGCTTGTCGGCCCTGAGCGATCTTGGACACATCTCGCACCATAATCTCAAACACATTGTTCGAGTTCAATCCACAATCGTAGTTTAGATAGGTATCTACCAGCGTTTGGGGGTCTGTAAATACCTTGGATAAAGCCTGTGAGTGTATGAGTATATGGATGTATGAGTATATAAATATGTGCGTGTTTATGATAATATCTACATCCATATGGCATGCACTATGTATGTAAGCATCAATTCGTGAAGAACTTGGACAAGGCCTACGGAGGTATGAATATATATATATATATATATATATATGCATATCTATAAGATGCATACATGCATGTATTTATGTATGTATGTAAGCATGTATACATCTATATAAGCATTCATGTATGTACTTATGTAAGTAAGTTTGTAAGTAAGTATGTATGTATGAATGAATGTATGTATGTATGTATGTATGTATGTATGTATGTATGTATGTATGTATGTATGTATGTATGTATGCAGGTATGTATGTATGTATATAAGTATGAATGTATGTATGTACTGTTGTATTTATGTATGCAAGTATGCATGAATGTATGTATGTATCTATGCATGTATGTGTGTATGTATATATGTATGTATGTGTGTACGTATAATTCCAAATGGGCAGCACTTGATTTTGATTCCGAAATTCAAAACACACCTGAAGCACGAGCCATTTGAGTTGGAACGAGGATGCAGACGTCTCCAATATCGGCAGAAAAATATCCTTTTGAAATAAAAATTGTATCGTCAGATCAGTACGCCAGGCAAATTGGACCTATATTTGGCATCTCTGGGCCAAAAAGGTACCAGATTTTAGGATGTTTTTCCAGCCAGGCACATATAACATAATTATACCCATAACAAGGGATATAACGTCGACGCAACTAATAATACCTTAACTGTGGATGTATTGTACACATGCCGCCTGTGTGATGCATGTACCGTAGCACAATTAACAGCACTAAGAAGAACCATCTCCCTCGCAATCACGAACTTAGCTAGTCGTCAAAGGGGAGGGGCGGGACAAAAAGACTTAAAATAACTGACAAGATGTTTACAACCAGTAACAGACCTAGGTGTACAACACGGACCATGACGCAGCAAATATCACGTATACATGTGGCCCAGGCCAATATGATACACCTACAGAACATGCAACACACCTTAGCAAATACGTAGACATCATTGGGTAGATAAAATAATATATATATAAATATATAC